TGAGGCATTCGGCATAGGTGTCCCATAGTTCTGGGGACGCAGGGTTGAATTCCTTGAGGTGGCCTTGAGTGGCCATGTTTCTTTGTCCACGAAGCGGCTTGGAGGAGCTCACAGCAACATTCTTCATCCGGGGTGATGGTTCCCCAGAGATGATTCAGCTTCTTTGGCCTCTAGCCATGCTAGAAGGATCCCACCTTTGTTGCCAGTGTTAAATAGTGGGTTTAACACGGCAGAGGCTCCCTCTAGGTGTCCTGCCAGAGAAGTCCAGGCATGCCTCCAGCAGCAGTTAAGCCAGAGTGGAAGATTGCTCATGTCCAGACATAACACATAACACTGATGTTGTTACCCAGGGGATTTAAATCGCATGGTTAAACAGCACTGTCATTATCCCATTCCTCAGTCACCCCCCCTCCTCACCCCACTCTGATTGTGAGTTTTCCAACACCAGGGAAAGTCCAGTCTTTATGGATATAAGTGGTTTCACTCCGCATTTCTGGATGCCTGAACTCCCCTGTTTCGAAGTCAAGCTGTTTGGGAAGTCTGAACCTTCCCTTCCATTTTTGCCTTCTTTTTTTGGGAAGCAGTTAGTGATGCATGCATCATCGGATCTTTGCGCCAGGGTTGTGAAACTCTGCTTGTGTGTTTGCGCACTGCAATATTGTGTTGTGATTGGGAGCCCAGCTTGGGGGGGGGGCTGTTTTAGAGCAACAAATTCAAGAAAAATGACCCTTTCTACCATTTCTTGGGGTGGGACAGCACTGAAAATAGTCCCTATTTAGGCTCCTATATTGGTGGCCATTATTCTGCCCCTGGAAGTTTACTCCAAGCCACCTCATAATATTGCTCTGGCTGGAAAGCTTGATGGGGAGAGAAAAAGGGACCCTATGAAATGAGTGGGAAAGGGAGTAAGGTCAGGCAGGAAAGGGAGTGATTTCTGACAGAGAAATACAGTTGTATAGGAACCAATGATCACAGGACTTGGCGGAGGGATTGCGGAGCTGTCAAAAAAGGAGATGGAGCTTTGGATACACACTTAGGTACATGCATGAAAAACAAACAAACAAAAGGATGCTGCAGGAACTCATGAGCATAATAGACCACACCCAACAGCAGAAACTCATTAGCATATTAGGCCACACCCATGACAATACAGCTCATTAGCATATTAGGCCACACACCCCATGATACCAGAAGTGTGGTCATCCAGCCACACCTACCTTTTGCTTCTTATTCTGTTTACCTTGTTTGTTGTCAAAACCCAGGGCTTTTTTGTAGCAGGAACTCCTTTGCATGTTAGGCCACACACCCCTAATGTAGCCAATCCTAATGAGTTCCTGCTGTTGGGTGTGACCTATTATGCTAATGAGTTCCTGCTGGGTGTGGCCAACTTGGGAGCCAGCTGGACCTCCGTTCCTGTGGGTTCCTGCCCCAAAATAGCCCTGCTGTGCAGCAATAATCTGAATGGTTAACCATGGGGTGAACGTGCAGAGCAGCGGGTTAAGGGTGGATGTTTAGACAAAATTCTCCAGCACAAAAAAATAAAGATCTAATTAGGGGTGTGGCCAAACCATGCTAAGCCTATTGTTTGGCTGAAGCCTAAGAGGTAGAGGTTTGCCTTACTAGCAATGGGCATCCCAACTGCCCTGCAAATGGGAAGAGGGAAGATGGAAGGAGAGGCTTAAGACTCTCTCTGGCAATAGTAAAGAACGAATTAGTAAACACAATTAGAAAATGTGACTGAAGAATCAGATTATCTCTCTGATGCAAAAGAGAACTGCTGGTCCATCTATCAGATGTCTTTATTATATCTAAAAAGATGACAGCCATGGGGGATCTAATGACCAGGAGTTTGCCCATTCATAGGAAAAGGAGTGTATCTCCCTTTGTGTCTATTTTTAAACAAAAATAAGCATGCAGGTAGGGGAAGACAAATGCTGATCCCACCCCTTTAATCTTACAGTGGTGTGCTATTTGAAGCATATTTTCTCCCAGGGACTCTTAGGAGAAGTGAAGTAGGGTAGGGGAAAATACTGAACGAAACAGACCACAGTGAAGTAAGATATGGGAAGTGGTAGGGTTTAGCTCTTCATATGTGCAATCTATATTTTTATATCTAAAAACCCAAACGAAAAAATAGATTCTCCTCTCCTTGTACATTTGATGATCTTGGAAAATGAAGGAACATACCAGTCACATGCCACTTTTTGTCTCCCTGTCTGTGCTTTGCAGGCAAAATTTTTAATTGCCTATAGAATGGAGAAGCTTTCTCCTATCTGTCTGAAATTTGGGAAGAATTCCCTGGGAGTGAGAAGCAATCCCTTACAATTTCATCACAATTAGGTGTGTATGTGGGGGAGATGAAGTTACACTTGAAAATATATTTCCCATCAAACCTAACAAAATTATAGACATTTTACCAGTCATGTACAAAGTATCTTCTGCCCAGGTATTAAGGATTTCTAGTGTTGATGCAAATGTGCCCAGATAAGGAGTATAGGAATTTCTCAGATATCAATTATATTCCTCTACTATCCACACATCTTTATTGAAGGATCTGAAATAAGATGTCTGAGGCTGCGATCACATGTGCCTTTAGATCCAACATAGGTGCGAAAGACTGACGGATCTAAAGAGTGTGATCAGACAGGAACATCTGGGAAGCGTCCTGCAGTCGTCGGCAACCCATGCTGCTCCACTATGGAAGCGGAGTTAAAAGATACCAGGGAAAGTCCGGTACTAAATGGGTTCCGATGGACTTTCCCCTGTCTGATTGCGCAAGCATGCTCTCATGCCATCGGGATGGTCTGATCAGGCCATCCCAGCTCGGTGTTGTTTTCCCTCCTTCTTTGCACTAAGCGCATCATTGCATACTCCATAGCGGGCCTTCAGTGCGGAGGTGCGATTCCTCATTTATGCGCATGGGAAACAAATGCCGGCCCCCCAAAAACAACTACTCACCCGCAGCTGCGTCTGATCACACAGTGACGGGTTGCACCCGCAGCTACAAATGGATCTGTGATCTCACAACTGTGTGTCAAATTCCTTTGGAGGAGATAGCCTCGCTTCCCCCCCCACTCCAACTGGCGCATGTGACTGCAACCTGAGTTTTGATGGGCCTTTCAATCACATTAATGCAACCAGATAGGGGGATTTTTACATAAGTTATGATGATGAGTTTTTGTCATTTTCTGAGCTGACTTGCTACCTTCTGTAGAATGGCAATACTTCGAGTTGCTACATTTGTTGGTATCTCAGTAAGAGCCTAGGAAGCTGCGGTGGCTCAAGTGGTTAAGACGCTGAACTGCAGGCTGTGGAAGGTTGGTAGTTCAGCAGTTTGAGACCCGAGTTGCCACATGACGGAGTGAACTCCCGTCTCTAGTTCCAGCTCCTGCCAACCTAGCAGTTCGAAAGCAAGAAATTGCAAGTAGATAAATTGCAAGTAGATAAATAGGTACCACTTCGGTGGGAAGGTAACAGCGTTCCGTGCGCCTTGGTGTTTAGTCATGCCGGCCACATGACCACGGAAATGTCTTCGGACAACGCTGGCTCTTCGGCTTTGAAACAGAGATGAGCACCGCAACCCTAGAGTCGGATTCGACTAGCTTTCGAGCAAGGGAACCTTTACCTTTTACCTTTAAGTAAGGGCCTGCTGCAATAAGTGTCTCAGAGTCCCCTTTGCTCCTGGAAACGCTAATTAAATCAAGGCAGAAAACAAAATCTACATTATTTGTTTATAAATATTTGATGTCAATGGATAAATATGCAGAGTCTCCAGATGAATGGAATAAGGAGCTAGATTGCCCTGTTTTGCCAAAGCAATGGGATATGGCCTTAAGATTTATACCTGCTCTTACCATGAATCTTGTTGCAACTTATTCAGCAAAAAATCTGTGCCCTTCCTCCTTATTTTTTTAAAACAAGTCTTTAGCCCTGTGATTACAGAGATTGATTTATTAGGCTTATATCCCCTCTCCCCATGCAAGCAGGCTCAGGGCAGTTCACAACATTTCAGTCAGCAACATAATAACAATAAAACATTAAGATTTTAAAACAATCAAATTAAACAAATTTAATATGCCTTTCCCTTTATATCTCTGCAGAAGAAGGAGCTAGAGACTTATTTTTTTAAAAAAATGAAAGCTAGTAATTAAGAATTTGGTACACATCTTTATTTACTTAATTTATGTTATATTTATAATTCAGTTCTTACACTAAAAGGGTGTTGGCTTCTCTCACGGACTGTAATACTTTTATACTAAAAGCAAATATTTGAGTGTGCAAGACAATTTCAGTCAAAACGATGTGTTCTCTCGCTATTGGAAACATTGATATGTGTAGGGGAAAATCCATGTTGTGAACGATGAAGTGTGCGAATTTCTGCTTTGAATTTAAAAAAAGAGTATTTGGGTATAATTCCTACTGCACTAAAGTGGAATCATGGATTTCAAACAGTTTCCCTGTTTGTTGATTTTTCTAAAGGTTAAGCTACAGTACATTTTGCAAGCTGATATGTGGGTTAAATAGTAAGGACACTGATTTGTTATCCTGTCCCGGGGTACAGCACTGCTGTTTTTGTAAATGTCATCACTTTCCCAGTACTATCTGGTTATATTTGAGTCATGAGGTGCTGACAAAAACCCACAGCACTTAATTTGAAACTTGAGGCATTTTGCTCATTCCAAAGTTATTAGCAATAGCCAACCTGGCATTTGGCTGATAAATAACTTGCACGTATGCACAGAACTTTGTTCATATGTAGTTTTTCCTGATTGTTTTTAATTCAGTAATCAAATTTTAAAGTGCAGCTGGACAAATAATCCTTTTTGGAATCCATGCTTTAAACAGGATCAGTACATCTTCCTTCAGTAAGTTTCACTGGATGTTTGGACTACATGAGCAATATGTAACTATTTTAATATCAAATGAAGAAATATTGCAAATATTTGTTGTAGATACTTGTTAACCAGGTATGCCTAAACATTCTGTCTCTTTGTTTTCAGCCACGCAGCAGGATATGAAAGTGACAGCCATGCAGGTCCTATGCTATACAGCTGTGGGGCTCAATATAGAATACATACTCATGGAGTCTTTAGAGGAATACAAGTGAGTGCTAGAAACACACGTCTAATCTAGATTGATTGCCTCGCTGATGTTCTTAAGTTCCACTGTGCCAATAACACACCCCAAGAAGATTCTTTTTGCCAGAAAGAGCAATATAAACTCAGACTTTGTCACATGATAACAGCAAAATAATTCATTTCTCTTTCAGCAGAACATATTTGGGACTATATCGCTAACCATCTACAAGATTTCTTTACATGGGAAACTGTGTGATATAGAGTGTTGGGCTGGATGGGCCTTTGGCCTGATCCAACATTGGTGTTTCTTATGTTCTTATGTTCTAATGTACCTAGAATTCAGTACACCTATTCCCAGATAATATGAACCCTACTTTTCAGGTCTCATGAGGTATTAACTGATGATCTGAACATCTTTTTTTTTTTGCTTCTTTTGTTTGCTTGTTTGATGAAAGGGCTATAGTACATTAATGTTTGTAATGCAAGTGAAAAAAAGTCTTTTCAATATTCAATATTGTGACTGTATATTTATTTGAGGTTTATGATATCATGATAGTAGTTGTCTTTGTCTGAGCTACTCCTCTTCCAGGTCTTGGACTGCTGATATATATTGCATATAAAAATATATATTCTTTATGTCATTATAGGATATGCGGAGAGTGCCAGGAGTAACTCCTACAATTGTTAGATCTGCAAGTGAAACAAATGAGAAAAGGCCTTTCATGTGTACATACCCTGGCTGTAACAAGCGATACTTTAAATTGTCTCACCTGCATATGCACAGCAGAAAACACACTGGTAAGTGTCATCACTGATTGCAAATTTCTTCCTGCCCAGTAGCTTAATTCTCTCTACTACTGTCCTTTCCTTTGTACTGGTAATGGAACCTATCCCTTTTCCATTTTCATGGCATTCTTTGAGGGTTTTTTGTGTGTGTGCCAGGGAGGATAATACAACCCTTGTCCCTATTTTAATAAGGGGAATGGGAGGGATGTGGTGCTTTGCAAGGAGGGCAGAGTGGCAAGTGGTTGCCAGGCACAGTGTCAGAACTGAAGCATCTTCATAGGGCTGTAATCCTCTTTGTGTTCTAGAAGAACGAAGTATCTGAGGTTTTGGAGGAAATGTTTTCCAATGAATTATATAAAAGTATATTTGATTGGGAAATAGTTCATAAAATAAACATAACTTTGGTAGCAATCCTGGTTACAAAAAGAAAAAAAATGGCCCATAAATTCCCTTGTCTCAGCACCTAGATATTTATAGGAAACTGACTCATTACATTTCCTGCAGTTTATTCTTTCAGATAATGTTACTAAAAACTGGACCACAAAACATGTGGAGCTCTGTTACACAAAACTGGAATTTCTAATCAGCATTACCAATGTTTCAACACATTTTTCCTGACATCTCATATCTCCAGTAACTGCTTATCAAGTTGCAGAAGAGTAGCTGTCTTACTCTGCTGTAGCAAAATAAAACAGAAGCCCAGTGGCACCTTAAAGACTAACAACATTCATTTCAATATGACTGAAGATGCTGGAGAATTCTTTTAGGGAAAATTACAGAAATGGGAGAGTGGCAACTCAAGGAGGAGTTGTATACTCCTCACAAAAAACAGCTGAGCCCCAAGGTGCAGACAGCCATTTAAACCCCTGCTTTCTGCTCTTCAGAAACTGCCATGAACTGGCTTAAAATTTGTGGTAGGTCTTCAGTTCGTGAACCATGTGCCCGCCAATTTTCACTCATAAGCCAGTTCATGCCCATCCTTAGTGTTGTGTATGCTGGCCGCCACCAGGGGCCAGCGGCGACCCAGGGCTCGACCCTGGGTGGACAATGGAAACCAGCCTTTTGGTCTCTCCAATAGGAGCCAGGGAAACGGGGAGGGAAATTCGAACCTCCCAATGGGATCCAGGGGTGCCCCCTGGATATGTATATAGTTGGCCTGCGGGCCGTTGTTCTTTGTCTTAGTTGTGTAAGAGCCAAGCGTGCACCATGTTATGTGAGCACCCACTACACAATACTTAGTCACTTCTTCAGATGTGTGAAGAGGAAATCGTTTTGGGATTTCTTATATTACAGAAGGGATGAGGGAAGGGGTGTTGAGACCAAGAGAATTTGGTATGAATCCCATCATAAATCTTTCAAATGTGAGATTTATGATGTGATTTACACTAAGCCTCTCTCTGTCTCAACTCCATGACTGAGAAGGCCCTTTCCTAGGTTGCCACCTGCCTAATCTCAGAAGCCAAGGGCTCCCGAAGCAGGGTATCTAAAGACGATTGTTGAAGCTAGGCATGATCATAAGGGGGCAGGTGGTCCTTCAGGTATGTTGGTCCCAAACCATATAGGGTTTTGAAGCTCAAGAGCAGCACCTTGAATTGTCCTCAGAAAGACTGGAAGCTAGCATAGTTGGGCCAAGACTGGAGTGATATTAGGGTTGCCATCACCCCCATTCTGAGGGCCCCTATGCACCCCATCCCCAAAGAGCCCCACTATGCCTGACATGCCCAGTGTCATGATGTAACCTGGAGGTGTCATCGCTGTGCTGGGCACATCATGCGGGGGACTTAGCTTAAGTTAAAATGCTGAGGGTGCTGTACAGTTGTGAACCATTATACATGTTACTTTTGACCATATTCTCATGAGGATGATTCATTTGTTTAAAAATTGTAATACGCATAAGGATTTTAGCCCATGGTTATTTCTATGATTTGTGGGATAGGTTCTGGTGGTTCAGTGATTGTAGTGGAAATCTGCAAACTCTTTTTTACTGCTTGCTTAAGAAGATCAGACTCATATGTAAAATAACACACAAGAATGTTGCTGCAGTGATGCCACAGAAAACTGCTTCACTATGGTAAGAAACTCTGTCCTAGCTATGACATCTAGAGTTAATTGCCATGTGACATTGCCATCACGTTGAGGGTGTTTGTGCCTTGGCATGGTCTTCTACAATCAGAATCACACATTTAGTAGATCGTTTTAGGCATTAGATATGGGCATTACTTGCCACAGAGAAGCCTCCTACTAGCAGCATCTTTGTGGTTAATCTAATGTGCTTTCTGGCTCTGTGCTGAAAATCACCACCTTGAAGTTTCAAACAGCCTCTGCTTGCACCCTTTCCATAACATGAAATATTACCAAATGTGCTATTAACATCCCAAATAATCTCTTTTGGAAACCTTTATTTCTCTCTACAGTGGTATTTGCTGTTTTTGTTATCATTGTGGTGGATTATTCCTAAATTAATAAAAGGTGATAAGAAATATTCAAAGCATCTCTCAGGTATGAGTAGATAAACTGATGGGTTCCACACCAAACCTTCTTTACACAGATGCTAGTAAAAAATCAACGATAACCTGAATTTTGATACTGCTCTGAAAAAAAGTTGTACATTGTTTCTTTTGGCTGTGTGATTTGCCATGTTCTCATAAGCAGTTGTTCACACAATAAGTGTTGAGATGGACCGATGCTGATAGTAGTAGCTCAGGCACAGTTAGCAAACATTAATTCTAAAAAAGAATCACAGGTTTGAGAAAACCTGAAATGGTTATGGCCCATGTTATGTATTGGGATTGAATCATCCCCGTTTCACCCCAGAGACTGGCTGAGCTTGGAGCACAAGAACAATAGTTGACCAGGACTCTGGAATAAACCAATCAAGTAGTAATGTTATGTAAATCGCCTATCAGTGGGAGTGGGGTGTGTTTGGGTGTGGCAATTGCATGCTATTTAACAGAGCTGAGGCTCTGTTGCCTTGTCTTGTAGTTTTGCTGAAATCACTGAATAAACCTGAGCTGATCACTGCCATGCGTCTAGAACCCAGTATTTAATAGCCCAACTCACAGGTTCCATTTCTATTGCAAAACTAATGATTCAGATGGGGAGGGGCTGTGCCTCAGTGGCAGAACATCTGCTTGGCATGCAGAAGGTTCCTGCTTTAATCCCTGGCATCCCTCGTTCAAAGGATCAGGTAGATGTGAAAGATCTTTGCCTGAAACCTTGGGGAACCACTGCCAGTTTTAGTAGACAGTACTGACTTTGATGGATCAATGGTCTCATTCAGTATAAGATGAGTTCATGTGTCTGTGTGCTGTCTTCTACAACCAGAAATCTATTTTGTTGCAGAGTAATCAGAAAAAGAATTCTCTTTCTCCAAACCTGAAGTACTTCAGGCCAATGCATGCATTACCTGAAATAAGATAGCCAGAAATATGGAACTGGTTTAGAAGTAAAGTATGAAGCATTAGACATGAAGCACTAGCTATGGAGTGCTATGTTCAGGTTGTTGTTGTTCAGTCGCACAGTCGAGTCCGACATGGACAAATCTAGCAGTTCAAAAGGAGGTCAAGAGAGCATACTAGGAAGCAATAACTAGTATGTAGCTTGGTACAGGGAAAGGGCTACTGAGTTTTATACTGTGTAGAGAAGCAGAATTTGGGTTATTGTTGAGTGCTTTTTAGAGCCGTGGAAGACTCTAGGGCTATTACCCCAATAATTTTTTTTTAATGCAATGTTGTTCTCCGGACAGAACATCTAATGTATGATACAACTGGCTTCTAAACAGGGACAAGGGAAGGAGGGAGTCTCCTTTGACTACCAGGAGGCTACACTGAGGATCATGGAACCTGCATGGACAAAAGTAATATGTGATGTAGGCTTGGGTGAGGAATTGGGCAAGACTGAAAAAAAAAGGTAGCTGAATCCACCTCCTAGTTGGAACAGCTTTTTTTTCCTGTAAAAAATTTAATAGCTGGTTTACTGGGCATTTCCCATTCTTTCACATGAATAAGCCAGTTGTATCATACAAAGCTGCTTTGTACTGAATTGGGCCTGTCAAGGTTAGTATCATCTATTCAGGCTGGCAGCAGTCCTCCAGTTTCTCAGGTTGCGGTTTTTCACATCACCTACTGTCCAGAATTAAGATTGCTGGGGAAAATATCAACAACCTCAGATATGCAGACGATACCACTGTAATGGCAGAAAGTGGAGAGGACCTAAAGAGCCTCTTTAGGATAAAAGAGGAGGTCACAAAGGTTGGCTTGAAACTCAACATCAAAAAAACTAAGATCATGGCATCTGGCCCCATCACTCTTTGGCAAATAGAAGGAGAAGTCGTGGAAGCAGTGACAGACTTCACGTTCCTGGCATCCAAGATCACTGCAGATGGTAACTGCAGCCATGAAATTAAAAGACGCCTGCCAACAAAAGTCCATATAGTCAAAGCAATGGTATTCCCAGTAGTACTGTATGGCTGCAAGAGTTGGACTATAAGGAAGGTCGAGCGCCGAAGAATAGATTCTTTTGAATCATGGTGCTGGAGAAGACTCTTGAGAGTCCCTTGGACTGCACGGAGATCAAATCAGTCAATCCTAAAAGAAATCAACCCTGTCTGTTCCCTGGAAAGCCAGATACTGAAGCTGAAGCTAAAATACTTTGGCCACCAAATGAGAAGGGAGCACTCACTGGAGAAGACAACGAACATGAAATTAAGCAAACACTGGAGCACGACAGAAGACAGGAGGGCCTGGCGTGATGTTGCAAAGAGTCGGGCTCAACTGTGCGACTGAACAACAACTGTCTGGCCCCCCTTCAGTACTGTGGATCTTTCCAAAAGTGCTCACTAATTGCTTTTTGCTGTTTTATGATAACCCTACAAGTGACATTTCAGTGATATCCTTTCCACCTCTTCTTGGAGTAGACTAGAGTATTCTTGCTGCTGTTCATTACAAAGATCAGACTATCATACATATAGTGCTGTGCTCTTATATATAGAAGCAGTCTGCTATACGGACAGG